GTCCACTGGAATAGTTATTTCTTCTTTGGCAGAGCTGGATGGAACCCAATTCCTCATGCACATTAGACAAGTGCTCTAACCCTGAGCTACATCTCCATCCTGCCTGAAACTGAGCTGTTGTTTTGCGTTTTTAGTCTTTTTTGAGGGGGTGGATGGGTACTAGGGTTTGAACTCAGGGGCACTCAACACTGAGCCACATCCCCAGCCCTATTTTGTATTTTATTTAGAGATAGGGTCTCACTGAGTTGTTCAGTACCTTGCCACTGCTGAAGCTGGCTTTGAACTTGTGATCCTCATGTCTCAGCCTCCCGAGTAGCTGGGATTACAGGTGTGCACACCACACCCAGTGGCTGCCCAGATTGGGTTTCCCAGCCTCCCTTGCAGCTAGGTGTGGCCAAGTGACTATGTCCCAGCCAGTGGGCTGCGAGCAGAAAGTCATGTGCGCCACTCCGAGGCTCACCCTTGAATGGATTGGCCACTGCTCCCCACAATCCTTTCCCTTTCTGTTGGGAATTGGGGAGAACCCAGTTCTCTTTGACCCCAAAGGACAGCCACAGGTTGTACATGGGATGGTCTGTGAGGGAGAATTGAACTTAAGGGAGGGGTGGCAGCACCCACAGCTCTCACAGGCCTCACTTAAGGGAGTGGCTGTCTGTGAAATCATGAGTGAGTCCTGGTGTGTGTCTGAGTGACTGGAAAGGCCACCTCTTCCTATTCCATGCAGAGGCTCCTGGGGGGCTGATGCTGGATCCCCAGCAGGGCTGCCCTATAAAATACGGTGTAAGTGCCGGGCCCGGTGGTGCCCGCCTGTAAGGAAGCTGAGGCAGGAGGATCGCAAGTTCAAAGCCAGCTTCAGCAACTTAGGGAATGTGGGAGACCAACCTTGCACGTGACTGAGTCACACTCCCCGGCTGGGTGCTGAGGTGCTCAGTCGCAGAAATGTGGCAGAGCTTTCCCCACCCTTCTGGGTTTGAGGGTTGGTGTCTCATGCATGGGTTTGTCCCATGGGTGGAGCTATGCTCACCTGTTCCTTTGTAATGTAACCCCTTGCCCTGTTTAGGGTAGAATCTTCCATGGAAGTGCCTTGAGTGTGTCCCCTTCTCTTACTGTGCCTTTGGGTGTGGCCTACCCAGGTGTCAGTCAACTGCTGACAGTGGACATCATGAAGATTCTCAGCCCCCTGAAACCTGACCCCTTGCCTCATTTGAATAGCTTCCCTCAATAAAAGGGGTCAGCGCGTGCTCTCTCTCTTTTCCTGTGGACTCTTAAGGTCAGAGGAGCCGTCAGCGCAACCCCAAAGAAAAAGTTATTTGTGTCTCTTCTGTGGTTATTTTGAGCAGCCCAGTCAGCCAGTTTGACTGGAGTGACCCCTGAGCCTTTTAGTCACGAGAACAGAAACCTGGAAAGGGAGGCTCTAAGCAACTCAGTGAGACCCTGTCTCTAAATAAAATACAAAAATGGGCTTGGGCTGTAACTCAGTGGTGGAGTACCTCGAGTTCAATCCCCAGTACCAAAAAAAAAAAAAAAAAAAAAGTTAAAGTCCTAAATGCTAGCTTCCTGTGTTATTTTTTTTTTAATATTTATTTTTTACTTATATAGGTGGACACAATGTCTTTATTTTATTTTCATGTGGTGCTAAGGATCAAACCCAGTGCCTCACGCAGGGTAGGCAAGTGCTCTATCTCTGAGCCACAACCCCAGCCCCTTCCTGTGTTATTTAAAAATTTTTAGTGGCCATGTTAAAAAATATACAAAGGAACAGATGAAGTGACAACACTGACATTTATATAAATAGAAGTCAGGGGTGCTTCACCATTGAGCCACATCCCCAGCCCTTTTGATATTTTATTTAGAGATTGGGTCTCACTACGTTGCTAAGGACCTCTCTAAATTGCTGAACCCCCTGCCTCAGCCTCCCAAGCTACTGAGCCTGGCTAAAGTTATATTTATAGCAATGATAGTAGTGAAACAATATATTATAGGCACTGTAATGATATTATTTATATTATACCATTATATATGAATTAATAATAGATTTTGCTTAATTCAGTTTATCCAAAATATTAACATGTAATCAGTATAAAAATTATTATTGAATCTTTTACAATCCTGTCTCTTGAAACCCCGTGTGTGTTATAGTCACAGCCATCACAATTCGGACTGTTGTTTTCAAGGGCTAAGGGCTCAGGGGCCATGGGGCCGATGCCTGATGTATTGGGCAGTGCAGGTCTGGATTTTGAAGAAGATGCCTCAATATGAAGCGGACACACAGAGTTTGGTGCACACACACTTGGCCCTGCAATTTCAGTTCTAGAGAATCATCCGCAGTAAGTATGAATGCTGATACTGGAGGGCCTGGTGTAAACAAAACATGGAAACCACCTAAAATTCTACCAACAGGGAAGTGATTGAACAAAAAGTTTTCACTAACAAAGGACTGAGGCTGGCAAGACAAACATGGTGTTCTAAAACTGTATTTGCAGAAACCATGATGCCAGCTGGGCACAGTGGCACAAGCCTGTATGTAATTCCAGTGGCTCGGCAGGCTGAGGCAGGAGGATCCCAAGTTCAAAGCCAGCCTCAGCAACTTAGTGAGGCCCTAAGCAACTCAGCGAGACCCTGTCTCTAAGTTAAAAAATAAAATGGGCTGGTGATGAGGCTCAGTGGTTAAGCAACCCTGGGTTCAATCTCCCATAGCAAAACAAAAGCCTTATCAAAGGTCCAGGGCCCAGAAAATGTAGGTCAAGTGGATATGTCCTGCCTTCCTAAGTCTCTCCTCTCTGTCGCCCCCTCCAGGTCTGGGTCAGAATAACACTGCATTACTACAAAACCCAGAATCCCCACAAATCCCTCTTCAAAATCCTTGCCAGGTAATGTAGCTGAACATCAAGCACAAAAGCCACACTTGAGAAAGCGTAGGTGCCTCCCCTCCAAACTGTGAATTCATAACTGCAGCAGGGAGACTGGGGGCTCAGTGATAGCAGAAAGAAAAAAACAAAGGGGGTCAGAAGAGTGCATTTCCAGATTGTTTGAGAATGTGCAAAGAGCAAATGCAAAGACATTACCTTTGCAATGAAAAGAAATCTTGATTTCTGTCTCCACCCACCTTTTTTTTTTTTTGGAGACAGGGTCTTGCTATATTGCCCAGGTTGGCCTCAAAATTTTGGGATCAAGTGATCCTCCTGCCCCAGCCTCCTGAGCAGCTGAGATTACAATCAGGTGACACGGTGCCCAGCTTAGAAAACTTGATTTTTAAAGATTGAAGGTTTCTGTAGGAAACATACCGTGGGGAAAGATGTGGGTGATATACTGTAGAGTTGCGGAACAGCCCGGGGGAATGAGCCTGTTTCTGTATCAGCAAAACCACACCCACTTGGGAGTTTGAAAAAGGCTCCCAGCCAGGCCCACATCCTAACCTCAGCATCCGGGAACAGTGGCTCTGATGTGGTAAAAGGTGCTTTGCCATCAGGGTTAAGTTGAGGATCTTGAGATGGGGACACTGTCCTGCTTTATCTAGGGGGGCTTTGTGTGGTCACAGGAGTCCTCCCCTGAGGGATATGTCAGGCACCCTGTAGAGGAGGAGGTGAAGAGGACACAGAGGCAGGATAGGAGAGAGGTGGCCACAGGCCAGGCACCTGTCAGGAGTTAGAAGAGGCCAGGAGCACTTCTCCCCGGAGACTGGAGTGAACATGGTCCTGATGGCAGTTTGGGGGTCAGGGGAGTGAACCCAGGAGCACTGTGCCACAGAGCCACATCCCAGACCTTTTTATTTTATTTTGAGACAGTTTTGCTAAATTGCTCAGATTGGCCTCCAACTTGAGATCCTCCTGCCTCAGCCTCCTGAGTCCCTGGGATTACAGGTGTGCACCACTACACCTGGCCCTCATGACATCTGGCCCTGCGAATTGTGGGAGGATAGATTTCTGTTGCTTTAAGCTACCTGTTTCGTGGCAGTTTGTTATAGTAGCCACAGAAACGTAACACGGATGCCCCCTGACACAAGCCCATCTTTAACTGAAAATCTCCTGAGTCCCAAATGCATTGAATCCACTCAACCTGCCGAACATCAGAGCTGAACAACACGGGACACCAGGGACAATGGAGAGAGTTGGTTGTGGCCCCTGTGATCGTGGGGCCTGTGAGAGCTGCGGGGGCCTGCCATCCCGAGAGTATAGAACCATATGTCTCTAGTTTGGGAAGAGATCGGAGTCCAAAATTCAAATGAGTGTCACTTCCCCATTAGCTTAAAGTTGAAAAGTCCTAAGTGGAGCCTCTGAAGTCAGGGGTCAATAAAAGAGGGTCCTTCCCGGGCTCTGGCATCTCTCGGGGAACCCAGAATAAAAGAGAAAAAGGGAAAAAGAAAGAGGGAGGGAGGGGAGGAGTGACGAGATGTGGAGTTACTGCGGCTGCAGCTTGTGGGCAACTTCACCCAACTTCAAAACCCGGCGGGGAAGATTCTCTAGCACAATGTACCCAGTGCTGGGCCACCTCTACATACCTGTAGGCCCTTTCTGGACCTCAAAGCAACCTGTGTGAGGCGGGGGGAGTCACAATCCCTGACTTCCAGGGGCCTTGTTAAGCCAACAGGACCCCAGAGCTTTTCCCCAGAAACCTGGGGTGAGGGGGGCATGGGTGGGCGCAAGCACACGCGGGCAGGTGCTCTAGGTCTTCAAATGGGCACCCCGAGGCCTGAGCCGCGACAGGAGCAGTCATTTCAGCTGGCTTTCTCTCTTCTTGGGGCCAGGAACTCCCTCAGTTTTCCAAGCCCCGGGCTCTCTCCCCCACCGGGGAGAAGGTGTGAGGGTGCGCTGGGTGTGTGCCCACGGAGGGAGCCCCAGGCAGGGTGCCCAGCGCACAGGCCAATAGGAGCCCCCGGGAGGAAGGATGGTCATTTCCTCCTTGCTAGCTGCTTGGTCCCTTGGGGCTTTAAAAACCGCAGCCCAGACGGGCAGGAGGGACCTCAGCCACCACAGCGCCCTGGAGCACAGGACATGGTGAGTGGGCCCCTTGCTCTCCTCTTGCCACAACCTCCCTCTGCCCTCAAAGTCCCCTCTTCTCCCCCTTCCAGGCTCTCACGCTCCAGGAATGGGATGTGGCTAAGGAATAAGATTGTCATGGTATGACGTGGGTAGCGGCCACTTCACAGATAAAGTTTGCCCAGGGCAGGGAAACCTCAAGTTGGGTCCTCATAAGATGATTAAGAATTCCACAGAGCAGCCAGGTGTGGTGGCACAGCCATGGGATCCCAGCTGCCTGGGAGGCTGAGGCAGGAGGATGGTGAGTTCAAAGCCAGCCTCGACAATTTAGGGAGGCCCTGTCTCTCCACGAACCAATAAAAAGGGCTGGGATGTGGCTCAGCGGTGGAGCACCTGCAGGGCATGAGTGAGGCCTGGGTTCAATCCCCAGCGAAGGGGGGAAGGTTCCACAGGCGGAGAAATCCGGAAGAGGTCCGCTAGGCCAGGATCACGGCAAGGTCAAGGTTGGCAGAGTGGTCAAGATTCACGCAGGTGTCGCAGATGCTGGGAATTATAGAGAGGGGAGAGCGGGCGCCCAGGGGGACCAGCATTCCTGGGTCCCCCCGTGGTTGGCGGCTGACCCAGGCTGCCCGACGGACGCTGTGAGTCTCGGGAGGAGCCCGTCCTCCAGCTGACCTGGGGTCCCCCTGCTCTACCTGCATCCGGGCACTGCGCCAGCAGCCCTGCAGCTGCCGAGGCCCAGGCCTTGCCTCACCCGCGCGGGAGGAAACGGAAGGCTGCTGCTGCTGGAACAGGAAGGGCTCCACGTTGCCTCACCTCATCCCACCCTTCGGGGGCCACTTGAGCAGACAGGACCTCAGCGCGCGACCAACCAGCGGCTGCTGCTCCCCTGGCCCCATACAATATGCCTCCCCTTCCTCCCCTTGCAAATAGCCGTATGTTTTATACATTCTTTCATATCTTGTTTTTTCATGAATAGTATCTGATATTTATTTATTTGTTTGTTTGTTTGTTTATTTGTTTGTTTGTTTATTTATTTATTTATTTATGGCACTGGGGATTGAACCTAGTGGTGCTTTATCACTGAGGTATATCCCCTGTTCTTTTTATTTATTTGTTTTTTAAATTTTGAGACAGGGTCTTGCTAAATTGTTGAGAGTCTCACTGATGGCTGAGGCTGGTCTTGTATTTGTGATCCTCCTGCCTCAGCCTCCTGAGTCGCTGGTATTACAAGCACGTGCCATCACATCCAGCTAACATATATTATTAACCAGCTTTAATTGAGAGCTAACTGCATGCCAGGGATCATGCTAAGCACTTTACATTCCACATTTCATTTTAATCTATAAGGAAGGTACCAGATTCCCAGCTGAGACCCCCTTTTTATCAGTCAAATAATATTCCACCAGGAAATTTGATTCCCTATCAATGAAGATTTAGGTCGTTTCCGGTATTTTTTTCTTTTTTGATATCAGGGATTTGAACCCAGAGGTGCTTAACTGCTGAACCACATCCCCTGCCATATATCTATATCTATCTATCTATCTATCTATCTATCTATATCTGGGTTCAAATTCCTGAGTCTGCTGTCCTGCTTTCACAGGGAGACAGGTGGTAGGACTTTCCCTGTTGGAAGGACAGGGAAACCCAAGTGCAGTGAGGAAGGGGGAGGGGAGGCGAGGACCAGCTGCTGGTCCCAAGAGTCAGCTGCTCAGCTGTGGACAAGTCTCTTCTCTGTGATCCCACGTTTTGTCCTTGCCTCTGCCATCAGCCTCCTGCAGGCCCCTAGCCTCACTGGCCTGAATCCCTGCCCCTGCTCCTCTCTGATCCTCCTGCCTCTGGCCTAACCTCCCCAGAGTGGCTGGAAGGATTGTTCTAACCCTAAACTCTAATGTAGTGCCCCAGCTCCTAGACCATGCATGGCTCCCCATTACCCCAGGATAAAATGCAAGTTCATTAACATGGCACCTGGGCCTTTCCAACCTCGTCTTAGACCCTGTCAGCCACGGACCTTCTTTCATTTCCTGGTGGGTAGCACATGCCCTCCTTCTTTGCCTCCTTCTACCTAGAATGCAGTTCTTTCTTTGGTGTCCACTCAGAGAGAGGGTTCTAGAGTTTGACTCCAGGGAGTCACCTCCCATCTCTGGTCTTGCTGACTGAGCAGTTAGAAAGCTTTCCCCTAACCTCTCTGAAGCTCACTTTTCTCATCTGTAAAGTGGGTTTTACAACAGCGAACAACAAGAGTTGTCATGTGGATTAAATGAGATGATACATGAAAAGGGCTTAGAACAGAGGTTGCAATATTTCTGCTGTTCTTGTAAGTACAGTGTCTTCTCCTTCGCCCTGTTCTCCTCTGAGAACTCACGGCTCCTTACTGCCAATCCTGTGGTCTAAGCCACCATTGTCCCCTGCCTCACCTGGACCGTTCCACTCTCCTATTCTTCCCAGTGTCTGCTCTCAATCTCTTTCTCCACGCAACAGAGAAGAGCTCTTGTCAAAATGAGTGTATGAGCTCAGAAGCAATAACAGTACCCTGCCCTCTGTGTTGCTGCAACATAGATACTGGTTTGGGTTTTTTTTTTTTTTTTTTGGTACTGGGGATTAACCTGGGGGTGCTAACAACTGAGCCACATCCCCAGCCCTTTTCTTTATTTTATTTAGAGAAGGGTCTCACTGAGTTGCGTAGGGCCTTGCTAAATTGCTGAGGCTGGCTTTCAACTCACCATCCTCCTGCCTGAGCCTCCCAAGTTGCTGGGATTACAGGCATGCACCACCGCGCCCGGCTGTAGATACTGTTTTACTGCTGGGGAGGAGCCCAGGGCTGCTGCTCTACCACTGAGCTCCATCCTGGCCCTTAGACACCGTGATTAGGTAATTAACGAGCCAATGCCTGGGAAGCACCTCCACAGTGCCTGGCACTGTCCCCTGTGGTAGCCACTAGCCCCATGGGGCTATCTAAATTTAATTAAAATGACATACAATTAAAAGTTTAGTTCCCCAGAGAAGTGGCCTCATTTCAAGTGCTCAGTGGCCACGTGTGCTCGGGCACTGCCATCTTGAGCCTCCCAGATGGCAGGCCGACCTCTGTCACCAGGGAGAGTTCTACTGGACAGCGGCAGTCTTTTTCCAAGCCCTACACCAGCCTGGGCTTGGGGACAGCCACGATTATAATCGCAGCACTTGACGCTCCCTCCCTGTAGACCGGAACCTCTTGAAGGGCAGAGGCCAGGTATGCCTGCTATGTCCCCTGGCCAGTGAGTACAGTATGTCTGGTATGTCCTCCGGCCAGTGAATATTTACCTAAAGAAGGAATGTGCCCAGGATCTTTATCTTAGACTCCTTGAATTGTAGAATCATGGGTTCTGGGATACCCACTTCTTCAGCATCCACAGAAAATTGGTTCTGGGACTCCAGAGGTACCCAAGTCCAAGGATGCACAAGTCCTTTGTATTCAATGGCTCCGTTTTTGCACATTTAACCTGTGCACATTCTTCCCTATATGCTATTTATTTATATTAGAGATTGAACCCAGGGATGCTTAGCCACTAAACCACACCCCAACCCTTTTTGTTATTTTGAGACAGGGCCTCATTAAGTTGCTGAGGCTGGCTTTGAACTTTTGATCTTCCTGCCTTGGACTCTAAATCTGCTGGGATTACAGGTGTGCACTGCCCACCAGGCTCCTTATACTTTAAATCATTTCTAGATGACTTATGATACCTATACCATCTAAATGCCATGTACATAGTTGTTTAGGGAATAATGACAAGAAAAACGTCTGTAGTTTTCAGTACCAACATGATTATTTTTTTCAAATATTTTCGATCTGTGTTTGGTTGGATCCACGGGTGCAGAACCATGCCTGTGCATGTGAAAGGTCAAATGTATCTTGTATTATATTCAGGTTTTGGAATCAGCAATGCACTGCATAGTTCTATATCCAAGAACAAAAGTATATATAGTGAATAAGTGCCTTCTAATTTCTATTCCCCCAGCCCCCTCCCTCCCCAGGGGTAAACACTGTGGCAAGTTTCCAGAGCTAGCCTGTGTACACATAAGTACACACACACATACACTAGCGCATTGCCGGTTTTGTAGGCAATATGTTTTGCCCACTGAGCATCTGACGTTTTCTACTTTATCTTGGAAATACTTTCACATCTTTACCTCAACAAGTTCCTCATTCTTTTTGTGTGTTCTTTTGCGCAGATACGCCACCATTTATTTAACCAGTCCCCTCTTGATGCCCAATTAACTCAGCCAATCCCCCCTTGCTGAGCACTTCAGTTATTTCCAAACTTTGTGAGGGATACTGCCATGACCAAAACTTTGTGAGCTATTGGCATGGAGAAGATTCTGGAAATCAGAGTGTTCTGTCCTCATGAGGTCAGCAAAAAGAAAGGACAGTGTGACATCATGCAGGAAAGGAGTTTTGTCGGCTGAGGAGGGGATGATGGCGCAACTGGGGAGCCAGGATCGGGAAGCCTTACTTTCGGGGTCTGACTCATTCTGCAGCCAAGGATTGCTGAGAGTTTGTGAAATCAGCAGAAGCAGGGTTAGCTTCATGTGTCACATCCAAAGGGACATGCAAAATGTCTGACAATCTGCTACCGTGCAGAACCTCCTGGGAGGGGGCGTGGGGGTGGGCTGCGCTGAGCCCTGCGGAACCCTGTGACAACCTGGGCACGCCCCCCAGGAGGGGGCGTGTCTCACAGTAGCGAATTGGAAGCGGGGCGCCGTGTGTGCCTAGAGCAGGGGATATTTATCAAAGGAAATATTTTAGACATTTTAACTTTCGCTTTAGAAATATTTTCAAAGTTATAGAAAAATTACAAGAACAGTGCAAGAAGTCTCGTAATTTTTACCCGGATTTTCCAAACTTACCTACCCGTTATCTATCTCTGCATCCGTCACCCATTCCATCATCTATCTTCCATCCAATCTTTCCATCCGTCTTTCTATCTGTTCATCATCCAACCATCCAGACATCCCTTCTCTCTTTCTCTCATCTGGTGTCTTTCTTATTTTTATTTTTTCGAGTAAGGTGCAGGCATCCTGCCCTTTTATGCTGCAAAATTTCAGTGTCATTTCTCATGACGGAGGACATTCACCTCCATGAGCATGGCAGTAATTAATGTCAGAAATTCAACGTTTGGCCGGGAGCAGTGGGTACAACTGTAATCCCACTGGCTTTGGAGGCTGAGGCAGGAGGATCGCAAGTTCAAAACCAGCCTCAGCAACTAAGCGAGATCCTAAGCAACTTGGTGAGACCCTGTCTCAAAAAAATAAATAAATAAATAAAAATAAAAATAAAAAAAAGGAGGGAGGGCTGGGGATGTGGTTCAGTCGTAAAGCACTTCTGGGTTAAATCTCCAGTACCAGTAAATAAATGAATAAAATATTGCATTAAAAGATGATTTATCTTGGCCTGGAGAAGTGGCTCAGTGGTAAAGTATTTGCCTGGTATACACGAGGTCCTGGGTTTGATCCTCAGAACCACAAAATTAATAATAATGATAATAATAATAAGTAAAATATCATTTATCTTGATGACTGGATCTTTTGGGTACCCCCTAAATTTTGTGCCCACGGTAAGTGAGGCACTGCCAAACCACTGCCTTCTCCTGGAAGCCCCTCCAAGGGCATTGAACCACTGAACCAGCCATGGACCTCCGTGGACAGAAGCCAGGAAAAGGGCTTATGGTGGTGACATGCGTGGGGAAAGCTATCCGATAACAACATCTGAGTATTTAGGGATATTAAAACTCTCTAACAAGCCGCTTGTCAGGAGCATTGACTGAGCAGGATGGCCAGTGGCTCTAGCTTAGCAGTCAGGCTAGGGTTTAACTGGTTTCTGGGTCATGAGGAAATCCCGGTCCACAGGCTTCAGGGGGAGGTGGCAGGGGAGCAGGCTGACCATCAGGATGGAAGAATAAGTGGCACAGGTCCCAGCTCCCCCTCAGGCTTCAGATTCCCACTGCCCAAGAGGAGAGAGGCTGGGAGAGGTGGGAGGTCGGCAGAAACTCAGGACTGTGCCAACCCCCTCCCAACCCAGGTCTGCCAACTCAGACCCTCTCTGCCTCCCCGATTCCACACAGGCCTTCATGGATAACGGCACCTTTGATTACCCCTACGACTACCCGGAGGGCACCCTGAACCCTGACACACCTGTGGACAACACTTCCTATAACCTGCGACCTACGGACATCATAGCTTTGGTCATCTTTTTGGCGGTCTTCCTAGTGGGTGTGCCGGGCAATGCCCTGGTGGTCTGGGTGACAGCATTCGAGGCCAAGCGAACCATCAACGCCATCTGGTTTCTGAACTTGGCAGTGGCTGACCTCCTCTCCTGCCTGGCACTGCCGGTCTTGTTTGCATCTGTCATACTGCAAAGCAACTGGCCCTTCGGGGAGGCGGCCTGCCGGATCCTGCCGTCCCTCATCCTGCTCAACATGTACGCCAGCATCCTGCTCCTGGCCACCATCAGCGCAGATCGCTTCTTGCTGGTGTTCAATCCCATCTGGTGCCAGAACTTCCGCGGGGCGGGCTTGGCCTGGATCGCCTGCGGCGTGGCCTGGGGCTTGGCCCTGCTCCTGACCATTCCCTCCTTTCTGTACCGCACGCTGCACGAGGAGCATTTCCCACACAGGATCATATGTGGCGTGGACTACGGGAGCAACGGCCGGCGCAAGGAGAGGGCCGTGGCCATCGTGCGCCTGGTGGTGGGCTTTCTGTGGCCGCTCTGCACCCTCAATATCTGCTACACCTTCCTCCTGATCCGCACGTGGAGACGCAAGGCCACGCGCTCCACCAAGACGCTCAAGGTGGTGGTGGCCGTGGTGACCAGCTTCTTCATCTTCTGGCTGCCCTACCAGGTGACAGGGATGATAATGGCTTTGTACCCCAGTTCCTCGTCCATCTTCCTGCGGGTGCGCAAGCTGGACTCCCTGTGCGTCTCTGTCGCCTATCTTAACTGCTGTATCAACCCCATCATTTATGTGGTGGCGGGCAGTGGCTTCCAGGGCCGCCTGCGCAGGTCCCTCCCCAGCATTCTCCGCAACGCTTTGACCGAGGAATCCCAGTGCCGGGAGAGCAAGTCTTTCACGCGCTCCACCATGGACACCCCGTCCCAGAAGACCCAAACGGTGTAAGGGGGGGGGATTCCTCTGCCACTACGCACCCCAGGGTCCCCCTTCCTTGACAGCCATTATTTTTCTGCTTTTTTTTTTTTTTGGTACCAGGGATTGAACCCAGGGACACTCTACCACTGAGCCCCACCTCCAGTCCTTTTTATTATTATTTTTTATTTTGACACAGGATCTCCCTAAGTGGCTTAGGGCCTCCCTGAGTTGCTGAGGCTGGCCTGGAACTTGAGATCCTAGTGCCTCAGCCTCCTGAGCTGCTGGAAATTTGCGAGTTCACTTAAATAAAAGCTTTAAGTTAACCTGCTATATAATTGGAGCACTTTTAAAAAGTAGTAAGTGAAAAGATGTCATGTGGTTGTGGCGAAATGGAGGAGGAAGACTGAGATGGGCAGACACACCTCCAGTGGTTATCTCCCGGAAGTGGAGTAATAGAAGAATGTGACTTTTTTGCTTTAAAACCTGCTGTTTTTTTTTTTTTTTTTTTGGTGTGTGTGTGTGTGTGTGGGGGGGGGTGTTGGGCATGGAACCCAAGGCCTTGTGTATACTAGGCAGGTGTTCTCCACTGAGCCACACCTCCAGCCCTACACTTTCTTTTTCTGTTGACTTCTGTTTTTTAGGTGTTGATGGACCTTTATTTTACTCATATATTTATATGTGGTGCTGAGATTCGAACCCAGTGCCTCACACATGCTAGGCAAGTGCTCTACTCCTGACCCACAACCCCAGCCCCTTCTGTGGACTTTTTATTGCAGATTCAATGTTATAAGAAATAGGAGAGAGGGAGCCTGTGGTTCTTCACATCGGAATGTCGAGCTTGACACAGCCAAGGGTCCAGGGACATCCCCATCACCACCGGGAACCCTTCAGTGGTCGTGCCCACCCACCTCCCCATCCCCAGCCTTGTCCGAACCCCAGACAACAGCCAGTCCACCCTCCATGCCTGCAATCTTGTCATTTCAAGAACCGTTTTCAATAGAATCCTACTCTGTCTAACCCTGCAAGCTTTTTAAAAGCAGCCTGCATGACTTGTGTGATCAAATAAAGAATGGATATGGAAATATGTGTGTGGGCGTGGATTAGCTAGAAAAGAAGTACAGGCAACATGAGAAGTGTGATTGTGTAAAGCAGGGGCACATTAAAAAGTGATGCAATGGTCATTGTCATAGATGTGCCATGGTGTGGGTGGTTGGAGTGTCCCCAAGGGTCTGTTGTGATTGAAGGCTTGATCTGCAGGGTGGTGCTCTTGGGAGCCTGGGGAATCCTTGGGAGGTGGGGCTCAGTGGGAGGTCCTTAGGTGCAGGGGCCAGGGGGGGCTGTCTTCTGAAGGAAGCTCTTGGAGACTCCTGGGTGGTCCTCATGGGAGGGTTGGCTCATGCAGTCCTGTTTCCTACGGGAGATATGAACACTTGCTCTGACTCAGGTTCCTGCCATGGTCAGTCTCCATCACCATTATTAAAATCCAGCCCTCACCAGAACTGATGCAGGTCTTGCCCTTGAACCTCCTAAATGGTGGCCTAAATAAATCTCCTTTTCAGCCTGGGCATGGTGGTGCACATCTGTAATCCAAGCAACTCAGGAGGCTGAGGCAGGAGGATCGCAAGTTTGCGGTCAGCCTCGGCAACTTAGTGGGACTCTTGTCTCAAAATAAAAAGCACAAAGGGCTGGGAATGTGGCTCAGTGGTACAGCACCCCTGGGTTCAATCCCCAGTGTCTCCCGCCTCCTCTCCTCTCTCTCTCTCTCTCTCTCTCTCTCTCTCTCTCACACACACACACACACACACACATACAAAGTAAAATAAATAAACTTCCTTTTCTCCATAGGTAGCCTGTTCCAGGTATTTCATTATGGTAATGACAAATACATATTTAATAATCTACTATAATTGTATGTCATATAAACAATGATATTGGTGATATATTTGTACTTTGTGAATAGTATATATATGTGGATACCAATAAAGTATAGATACATAAAAGATGAAATATAGATCACATAATATTTAATGAGTATAATATATACAGGTGGTCTCCAACTTATAATGGTTTGGCTTATGATTTTTCATACTATCATTCTGTTTTTCCACGTTCAGCACAATATTCAGTAAATTGCATGCGATATTCAACACTTTAGTGTTCAGTAGGTTGTGTGTCAGATGATCACCCAGTTGTAGGCTAACGCAGTGGTCTGAGTGCTCTTAGGTAGACTAGGCTGAGGCTAGGTGAGGTGTGTTAAATGCATTTCCAACTTAAGATATTTTTAACTTACATACAGATGGAACCTTATTGTAAGTACAGAGATCTGTATGTATTAATATATTTACAATACATTTAAATTGTGTTACTCTCTATGAAACCTAACATGTAAAATAACAGCAATCTAAGCAATCATATATCTTACTTAATCCAACTCATGCAAAGTATTAGTATTTCAACGTCATTGTAATCAATGTAAAAATATTGAAGGAACCTGTTCCTCCCTCCTTCCCCTTCCTTCCGTTCTGCCTTTCTCTTTGCCTTTCTTTCCTTTGGTACTCAGTCTTTGAAACCGTCTGTGTATGTGGCACCCAGAGCCTGTCTGAATGGGCCTCAACCTTTTCAAGTGCTCAGTCGCCTTTGGGAGCTGGTGGCTGCTCCATCAATGGGCACATGTGTGGTGTCCCCTCCCTCTCTGCCAGAGCTGGCTGAGCGTGGGCCTGATCCTGACAGACAGGGTAGCATGCTCTTGCAATAGCATCCTCGTGGCTGCCTTGGGGACGACTCTTAAAGACACTGTCTGAGCATCTTGGTGCAACAGGGAGCACTTGTGTCAAGCTTCCGGCAGAGGCTTTGTGCAATTATTATTATTATTATTAGTTATTGTTGTTACTTGGGATTGAACCCAAGGGTACTTAACCACTGAGCCACATCCCCAGCCCTTTGGATTTTTAAATTTTGAGACAGGGTTTCACTAAGTTGCTTAGGGCTTCACTAAATTTCTGAGACTGGCCTCAAACTTGCGATCCTCCTACCTCAGGCTTCCAAGTACTGCGTGTGATGTTTGTGCGTGCTTGATAGTGAATGTTGGTGTACCTGGGACAAGATGTGCTCTGAGACTTGTGTTCACTTATGTCCACCTCTTGGGATCAGGCTGATGGAGGATACCTGAGCTCCAGGCACCCCTAGTTTTTAGTGAGGGGGTGCAGATCCTTCTCTCCGAGTCCCTCCTAATCCTACATGGCCCTCTACCTCCTCCTCACTGGATGGCTGCTGATCTGGCTGGTGTCCTCTACCTCCCAGCTTCATTTCCCCTGTCTCTCTCTCTGCTCCTGTGGTTTCGTTGCTAATGCTCCCCAGAGGCCCTTAAAGGCTTTGGCCAGGGTGGCACTGGGTGCAGTGCTGAGAGCTTTAGGAGGTGGGGCCTAGTGGGAGGCCTTTAGGTCATTGGGGGCGTGGCCTTGGAGGGAATCATGGGACCCAGCCCCCTCTGCACTCTCTTGCCTCCTGGCCTGAGCTGAGTGGCTTTGCTTCACGGTGTGCTCCGCCATGATGGGCTGCCTCACCACAGAGGACTGGGGCCAACCAATCAGAACCCCCAAAACTGTGAGCCAGACGAGCATGATGCTCTTGGGAGGTGGTAGAACCTTCAGGAAGTGAGGCCTGGGGGAAAAAAAATTGGGTCATGGGAGTGTGACTTTGAACAGGCTGTGGGAACCCTAAGCCCCCTTATCTCCTTGCTTACTCACCACCATAGGCAGGAGGTTCTGCTCTACCTCATGTTCCTGGGTGTGACATGCTGCTTCAGTACAGACCCAAAGCAATGAGGCCAAGTAAGCATGAATAAAAACCTCTGCCTTTCCTCCTTATAAGTTGATTTTCTTGGGTATTCTGTCACAGTGAGGGAGTGTTTGGCATGGTTATATGACAAAAACTGACTTGCACATCTGCTCTTCAACACCAGCTCTCTGGACCTCACTCTTTTTGTTTTTATTTATTTATATTTTGTGTGTGTTGCAATGAAGATGGAACTCAGGGTCTCACCCATGCGAGGCAAGCACTCTACCACTGAGCACCCACCCCTGCCCCCAGCCCTTTATATGTTTTATTTTGAGACAGGGTCTTACTAGGTTGTGGAGGCTGGCCTCGAACTTGCACTCCTCCTGCCTCAGCCTCCCAAGTAGCTGGGGTCACAGGTGTGCACCACCACACCCAGCTGAGCTCACTCTTCATGACTTCTCCTCTCACTAGTTCTTGTGACTTCACCTCCTACCATTGACATCTCTCTTTCTACATCTGACCTCCCCTCCCACTCCCCACACCAAAACTGACCTCAGCATCCTCCAAACCTCTTCTTCTCTTGCTTCCTCATCTTGGGGACAACCCTGTTGTCCACTTGGCCACTGGGCCTGAGCCTGGGACCCATCCTGACCCTCCTCTTCTTCCCACGTCCTGCCTGTCTGGTCCGAGCCCTCCATCCTCTGCCACCTGGTCCCTGCTTGGCCCCTGCCCCTTTCTCCTGGATGCCCAGCCTGTCTCTCTGAGGCCATCCTGCCGCCTCTCTGCCTTCCTTCGGAGTGCCACCCTGCCCCCGCTGCTCCCTCACTTCCTGTGTACCTGTCCATACTCTTCTACATTCCTTCTCTGCCCTGGCCACCTTCTAGCTCTCCTGACCTGAGGAATAAGTGGGACCCAGCGAGGCTCCCTCCCCCATTCAGGAAGCAGATCCATCCCCCAATCCGGGCCTGCCATGGTCTTCTGCAAACAGTCGGAGGCTGGGAGTGGGATCCGCCTGGGGTTGACCAGCCCAGCCCGAGAGGGAAGTGGGCTGGAAGGCCAGCGGATTGCCCAACGTGCGGCCTGGGGAATCTGCTGGGTCAACAGGTTTGGAAAGGGGAAGTGGTGGGGGAAGGAAGTGGACGATGGGCTTGTCCTCCCTGCCACACTCCCTGAGCCCCAGCCTCCGGGACCCTTGGTTCTCACTCACTGGGCTGCTCTTTGAACCTGGGTCCCCCAGGCCAGGGGCCAGAGCCACCCCCATCAGTGCCATGTGACTGACCTCTGCACCTCGCATGACTAGGGGCCAGGAGCTTGTCCCTCTGGACCAGAACCACCCACCAGCAAGGTAATGTGAGTCAGGAGGAGACCCTCACTTCCTGCAGTCAGGCAGGGGGCACGTCCAAAGAACCAAAATGATCCGGTAAAATTAACTTGGGGAATACATTTTATTGAACTCGATATATTTAAGATAATGTCATTTCCACACGTGAGATAAACATGTGGACATAAACACATCCTGGGGCTGCGTGTGGCGTCCCTAGCCCGTGCCATGCCCTGGGGTCTGCCCTGGGGTCTAGCACAGCACACAGACAACTCAATAGTCTCTCTCTCTCTCTCTCTCTCTCTCTTTTTAATGGACTAAGTCTCTGAAATCTGATGTGAATTTTATACTCAAAGTACCTCCTACCACGGATCTGCCTCATTGAAATGCTCAGCAGTCTCCTGTGGCCAGTGGCTACAGTGTGAGACCCTCGGGGAGAGACCTTCTTGGCTAACATTCAGGACATCTACACATCTCTCCCTCCCTCCCTCCCTCTCTTTCTTCTTTTCCTTTTCCCTCCCCTCCTTCCCTCCCTCCCTCCTTTCTGCCCCCCCCCTTTTTCTTTCCTTCTTTACCAGGGATTGAACCCAGCTGAGCCACACCCCCAGCCTGTTGTTTTATTTTTTGTCTTGAGACAGTGTCTCACTGAGTTGCTTGGGCCTTGCTAAGTTGCTGAGGCTGGCTTCGAATCTGTGATCCTCCTGCCTCAGCCTCCTAAGCCTCTGGGATTATAGGCATGCACCACTGTGCACCTGGCAGCATCCACGAATTACTAACATCTGACACGTGGAACTCTGGGCCTCTTGCCCTCTGAGGCTGCTGTAACATTCTAGAATCCTGTGATTTAAATAGTCTGTAACTCGCATTGCAGGACCCCTTGGGCCAGCATTCTGGGATTCCGACATTCTAGGAGTCTCTGGGTCTAACACTCCACCTCAGGGTCTTTGATTTAGATCAAGGGGTCAGCAAATCCGGCCCACGACTTGTTGTTGTGAATAAAGTTTGATTGGACACAGTCAAGCCCGTTCTGTCTGTGGCCTATCATCAGGCCCTGGTTGTCTTCTTGACCCACAAAAACAAAAATATATGCTTTCTTTTTGCAGAAAAAAAACTGCTGTGGTTTGACTGACCCCCCAAAACTCATGAAATTTACTCTCCATCATGAGGCATAAGGAGGGATGGAACTAATCTGTCTCTGATGTTTGGAGGTGAGACGTTTGGGAGGTAATCAAGGTTAAGTCAGGCCAAAAGAGTCGGGCCCTAATGTAATGAAACTGAGCTTAACCTGAGTCACCATGTGATGTCCTTATGCTGCCACCAGCAAGAGGGCCTTCCTAAGAGGCAGGTCCTCTCTCTGGGCTCTCTCAGCCTCCAGAACTGTAAGATGAATAAACCTTTATTCTTGACAAATTATGCAGTCTGTGGTAGCCAGGTACAGTAACCAGAAAACAACCAAAACATGGACACTCACCCTTGATCTAGATATTCAAAGACTCTAGGATGTGGTTTCATATGTCTAGTTTATGACTGTGTTTAGTAACTTGAGCATAGGTTAAGGCATTCTTTTTCATGCATCGGTATTACCTAATATGTATTGTTTGACAGCATATTGTTCGAAAGGGAAATGAGGTTATGCTTCCCCATCTAGCCGCTCACCCTACCTCCTGTCATTCCATTAGGTTGAACCCAATAAAATGATTCAATTCACTTTGGGGTGTGGGAAGGTAACCGTTTATTTATTTATTTATTTTTCTTTTTTGGTGGTTGAACCTGGGGTGCTCTACCAGTGAGCTATACTCTGAGCTCCTGTTACTTTTTTTATTTTGGAGTGGGATCTCACTAAGTTGCTGAGGCTGGCCTTGAACTAGCAATCCTCCTGCCTCAGCCTCCCAGGTTGCTGGGATCACAGGCCTGCACCACTGCACCTGGCTACTTGTTGTTTTTGAAAACTCGTGGTAAAGTGCACATGCCATAAAATTTCCCCGTTTAGTAGGCTCAACGTGTTGTGAACAGTTGTGCAATTGTTACTGCTGTCTAGCTCCAGGACATTTTCATCACCCCAAGAGGAAACCTCATGCCCCTGAAGCAATGGCTCCTCCATCCCTCCCTCCCCAGCCCCTAAAACTGCGGATCGGCTTGTGTCTATGGATTTTCCATGATTTCCTTGGACCTACAGAAATGGCCACTTTACATGAGCTGACTTGATCATTTTCTAGGATCTTCTCATTCTAGATTTCTCCTGGGAAGAAATGGCTGGTGGCCGAGAGGTTTGTGCTCTGTCCCCCACAGGGTAGCTGAGAATGAGCCCCCCAGGGCCTCCCCAGGCCTGTAGGGACCCTGTGCATAGTTCACCCCCGGGTCCCCAAGTAAGAGCCTCTAGCTCCAGGGACACCACAAAAACTTTGCCACCCAGAATCAGAGAACCTTCTGCTAATGACTCCGTGACCTGCTGAGGGGACCAAGGGGATGTTTGTCTCTATGGGGGAGGGGTCAGGCTCAGCCAGGACAGTGTCACCCAGAGGGTGACCAGAGATGCCTGCGTCACAGAGCCAGTTCCAGCTTCTTGACTCAGAAATGACTTCCTCTAGCAACATGATTCTATTCTCAAACAGCATCAAACAGCAACGAAAGTATAAAAATATCCCCCTCAACTTCTGAAGCAAGCAGAGAGAGAGGGGAGGGCAGAAAAATCTGCTGAATGAAGAGGTTCCCGAACTGGGCTGTGGCTACTTCCTCTCGAGAAGCTTACAGGGTGCGTGTGTCCTAAGAATGTTTAGTCTGTTCTTGTTTCTCTCTCTCTCTCTCTGTGCTGGGGATAGAACCCAGGGCCTCGTGTTGTTAATTTAACAAACGCGTACCTAGCTGTATACAGGCTGAACCTCCCTAATCGGGAAATCTAAAATCTGAAATATTCCAAAAATCTGAGACTCTTTGCATACTCTCGGGATACCACAAGAGGAAAATTCCACCCCTGACCTCATGGGAGGAGTCACAGTCAAAATACAGATGCACTGAAAATACTGCATAAAATTATCTTTAGTCTCAGCTGGACAAGGTGTGGCGTGCACACCTGCAATCCCAGTTCCTCGAGAGGCTGAGGCAGGAGGCCAGCCTGGGAAATGTAGACCCTGTCTTAAAATGAAAAGGACTGGGGATGTGGCTAATGGGTTTTATCTCCAGGACTGTCCCCCCACCCCGAAAAATTATCTTCAGGCTCTAGTTATATATGAAACGTCAAGTGATTTTCGTGTTTGGACTTCTTGTCACATCCCCAAGATTTGGCATTAGGCATAAGGAAATATTCCAAAATCAGAAGCACTCTGGTCTCAAGCATTTTGGATAAGGGATGTGCCACCTGCACCAGGTGCCAGGTGCCGGTCTGTGGGTTTTAAGTCCAGTCACCCATTTAGTGTTCACTGCATCCTCTCGCTTCACAGATAAGGCAGTGAAGGCTCAGAGAGACCAAGACCTAAAACTCACCAACAGTGGACCTAGAAGATGAATCTTATCATCCTGGCTCCTGAGTTCAGGTTTTCAGCCATGGTGAACAGGAGAGGCGGTTAAGAACCACTATGATGCTGGGTGCAGTGATGTACCTTGTAATCTCAGCGACTAGGGAGGCTGAGGCAGGAGGATCACAAGTTGGAGGCCATACTCAGTAATTTATCGAGGCTCTAAGCAACTTAGCCAGAACTTGTCTCAACATAAAAAGGGCTGGGGATGTGGCTCAGTGGTTAAGTACCCCTGGATTCAATCCCTGGTACAAGACAAAAAGAAAAACACAATAAGAACCACTATGGCCAAGGTCTTCCCATTTACAGGTGGAAAATTGAGGCCCAGAGAAGGGATGATAGTGCTCAGCTGTCTTGACCTTTTGGGGCAGGATGTTTTCCTTGGAACATTCGCGGAAGGCTGAATATTTATCTGTCTGCGGATACCAGGAGGGAGGGCTGGACATGTAGCTGGAAGCCAGGGGCAGGGGGCAGGGGGCTGTTGGTTCTTGCCGGAAGGACCTCGAAGGGTGCTGTGTGTGTCCTAAGCCAAGCCAAGACCACCAAACCCTGGAGGTCACACTACACCAGGAAGCTGGTGACCTCAAGATTAGGGTTTGGGACGGGGTCAGTTTTCCACCCACCTTCCACCTCCTCGAGCCCTCTCGACCTTCCCGGCTGCCCTGTAATTATGGTATGTGTGCGTCATGGGAAGAAGACAGGACAAACACACCCTGGGGCCGGGACCAGGCCACTCCTGTTTTCCCTGGTTAAAAAGCCTTGCCGGGGCCAGTGCTTGGAGAATCCAATAGGAACCCGGCAAACAGGGCCAATTTGCGATCCCAAGTGGTGTCTGAACACACGGAGCACTTTTGGAAGACAAGGTAAGGAGGGAGGGAAGAAGGAGGGGCGGGGCTTCACCACCTTGGCCTCCTGGATCGTTACTTTCAGCATCTGGGACGAGAAGGGAAGTCTTACTGTGGCCACATTGAAATTCATGTCACAGCCCTGGGCGGCCCACCCAGAAAACCCCTGTGAAGGTGGGAGCGTGTTTTGTCACATTCGGATGTGCTTTGTCCCTCTGTGACCCGCAGGAATTCTTGCAGTTGCTGGTGAAGCTATTGAGCACAGCAGCGAGTCTGCTGAGCGAGCCTTTAGCTTTGGCGACTGACTCAGCGGCTGGCGGTCCACACTGGTGTGTGACTTACACACACGGAGCACTGCAGCTCTGAGATGGTGTTGTTTTTTTTTTTTTTTTTTTTTTTTTGGTGCCAGGGATGGAATCCAGAACCTCACATGTGCCAGGCAGCGGCTGTGTCACTGAGTCATACCCCAGCCCTGTGACTCTTCATAAACGGAACACACCCATGTATCCAGCCTTAGCATGAACCCCATCCCTGGTGTCCCAGGGGGGGCTCCTCAAAGATAGTTGATCGTGACTTCTAACACCCCAGAGTCCCTCTATCTTTTTTTTTTTTTTTGTACCAAGGATTGAACCCAGGGATACTTAACCACTGAGCTGCATCCCCTGTCCTTTTTATTTATTTATTTATTTTATTTTGAGACAGGGTCTTGCTGATTTGCTGGGGTTTCACTAAATGGCTGAGGCTGGCTTTGAACTCTCCATCTTCCTGCCTCGGCCTCCCAAGTAGCTGGGATTGCGGGCGTGGGCCACCACAGCCTGCTCCTTTGCCTGTGCTTGAACTTGATGTGAATGGAATCATTCAGTCCTCAATGCGATGTCATGGACTCCGTCCCTGTTCCCTCCCCCAGCTGTAGACCATGCCGCGGTGTGACTATACAGGTGTGTCCCCAGCTGGGCTTTTGACCAGCGTGTACGTGCTTTTCCAGGAAGGGGTAGGATTGTGGGTCAGGGGAGAGGACCCCACATTCAGTGGCAGTGAATTCCACCCTGGAGTTCCCAGGGCAGAATTCCAGCCAGACTGGCAGATGGCCAAGCACGCATGCGCAGAGACGCACATCTAATGGCACTTGTCATCTTGAAAAACTGAAAGAAACTGGGAAGTTTGTTTTAGAAGTGCTGGGGATTGAACTCGGCCTCGGGCACGCTAGGCAAAGGCTCTGCCGTGAGTTCCATCCCCAGCCCTTGAGAGGTTGAAAGAATCTCCTAGTTTCTGTGTGTCCATCCGCGTCTTCCTTCTTTCCGTTGCCAGGTACTTACTAACTGTGTGCTGAGTACTGTTCTGGATGCTGGGAACAGTGTGGAGCCCAGAGCAGGGCGGGGCTGATGTTCTGGGAAATGGGGATAATAATAATATTGATTTTCTGGGAAATGGGGATAATGTCATGCTCACTTCCTAGGATTGTTATGAGGCACATAATAGGTATTCAATGAATATCGCCTGTTATTTTATTTATTTAAAAAAATTTTTAGTTGTAGTTGAACATGATACCTTTTATTTATTTATTTATTCATTTATTTGTATGTGTTGCTGGAATGGAACCCAGTGCCTCACATGTGCTAGGCAAGTGCTTTACCACTGAGCCACTAACCCCAGCCCCATCATCTGTTATTTTAATTATCAAAAAGAATAATGGCCGTCATGTTTTATCTGTAGATTGAAGCATGTAAACATAGTCTTTACAAACACACAAATGTAACTTATCGTAAAAGTGATAAAATAACGCTTCTCGTGACGATCATTATCATTATTACCAGAGGCCATTCTCACCAGGTCTGAGGCTGGTGACCAGGCATGACCATGCAGCCACAGACTGATTTTGAAGAAGGAGGTGGGCGGGTGTAGACAGCGGGAAGCCGATCCAAGACAAACTAAGTGGAAAAGATGAGGAGATGGGACGTGGGTGTCCAGTGTCTTGGTTTCTGCTTAGAATGTTCAGGAGGAAATGCTGTAAAGTGGTCTAGTTGCTTATGCGCAGGAAGTTTGATGGTTTTAATCAGCAGGAGCTGAGGGGTAGGGGTAGGGGTAGGGGTAGGGGTGGGGGTGGGGGTGGGGGTGGTGGATGGTCACCAGGGCAGCTGGGTGAGTGATGCTCACTGTGGCCCAGCGCTGTGTGCAGCTCCCCTCCATGATGTGCCCGTTCAATGCCCTTGGAGGCAGGCATATCATCACCCCCTTCTACAGATGGGGGGCTGAGGCCGAGGACTGGGGAGGGCTTGGATTTACAGAGGCTGTGCACATTTCACTCTGGGGACGATGACAGCAGAGTGCCTAACACAAAATGTGGCTTGACCTCGTAGGGCTGCCAGGCAGGATGGGGAGTGACTCGACTTCCTCCCTGTCCTTCCTGTTATGTTAGCACCAGCTGAAGCTCTGGGCAGTGCCAGCCAACCCATAATAGTCAGCAGAGAGCCACAGGGCCACTCTGACATGGGGCAGGTCAGGGACTCCTCCTGGGTCCTCTTGTCCCCAAAGCTCCATCTGTTGAGTCCCACTCTGTGCCAAGTGCGTGGCGCGCATGGACTCCTCAGGGTCCCACAGGACGGGCGAGGGGTCCTCCTTGGTGACTCCCTTCCCAGGTCAGGAAGTGAGGGGGCCACTGCAATCCCCAGAGCAGGTTACGGAGCCTGGATCTGCTGGGGCCTGGAGCTGTGTCGCTCCCCAGCCCTGGAGTCTCAGGTTAGGGATGACGGACAGCCCGAGGCCCAGGCTCCAGAGAGGGGCGGACAGGGGTGGAAACTCGGTTCTGTCCTCTCCTTACCTGAGTGATCTTGGATAAGTCACCTGTGTTGTGCTTCGGTTTCCTCACCTGCAGAAGGGGTTTAACATCACAGTGTCAAGGTCAGAGGGTTGGTCCAGGAAGGAGGATGACACAATGTTCAAAGCCGCTTGGACCAATGCCTGGGACCCAACCCGAGGTGCCCAATAGAGGGTGACGTCTAATAGGAAGTCCTAATCATTGCTGGTAGATCCTGTTGCCTCTCTGCTCAGCACCCTCCCATCTCCCACCTCATTAGTAATACAAGACAGAGTCCTTAGGAGCCCAGTGGACCCACGTACTCTGCCCCCCCCCCACTTCCTTCCAGCCCCCCTGCTCTCCTGCCTCAAGGCCTCTGCACTGGCTGTTCCCTCTGCCTGGAACACCCTTCCCCGGATCTTCACGGCACCCTTCCTCAATTCCTTTAGTTTCCTCTCAAATGTCACCAACTCAGAGAAGTGTTCCCTGTGTGATGCCCACCCTCCAGAGCCTTTATCACCTTAGGAACCCCTGTGTATTTTGCTCATCTCTGTCTTGACCGGCTGAATCCTCCCCCTGCAGGGTCAACTCCCAGGGGAAAGCCTTTTGTCTGTCTTGGCCTGCTCAGGCGCCTCAGTGCCTGGAACAGCACCTGGAACAGAACAAGTGCTCAGGAACTGTGTCTTGTGAATGAGAGAATTGTCGAGAATTCATATTTTATGTGTCCCACCTTCCCAATATTATCACTGCTTTTTTATTTATTCATTTTTGGGATACTGAGGATTGAACTCAGGGACACCATTCAACCACTGAGCCCCATCCCCAGACCTATTTTGTATTTTATTTAGAGCAGGGTCTCACTGAGTTGCTTAGTGCCTCGCTTTTGCTGAGGTTGGCTTTGAACTCATGATCCTCCTTCCTCAGACTCCTGAGCTGCTGGGATTACAGGTGTAATCACCACCATGTCCGGCTTATCATTGCTTTTAAGAATTACAAGTAGTAGGATTCAATTGTTCTCCATCTGTGAGCCAGTTACATGGGTATATTCAGGGTATGAAACCCAGAAAGCTGGACCTTTGTGACATGAGCACTCAGGTCCAAGGGTTTTTTTTTTTTTTTTTTTTTTTTTTTTTTGTGGTGCTGGGGATTGAACCCAGGGCCTTGTGCATGCAAGGCAAGCACTCTACCAACTGAGCTGTATCCCCAGCCCGTGTTTTACTCTGATCTCATTTATGTTAAAAAAGGATGAGAAGATTGCTTATGTGTACATTTTCACTGTATCAAGATTAGAAAATGCAGATGAAGAAGAACTAAGATAAATACTTCCGTTGTGAATACAGACAGCCGTTTCCCCCTCTTGATGAACAGAGTACACTATTTCATTTCAATTGCTTTTCACTTTTATTTTTATTTTTTATAATTATAAGAGGAAATTCTTTCCTTTTTTTTTCTTTCTTTTGAGATGGGATCTTGCTATGTTGCCGACACTGGTTCAAAATTCCTGGGGCTCAAGTGATGCTCCTGACTCAAGTAATAATTGGCTAAGGTTCTAGTAAATTAATATTTTGTTAATTCCGAGATTTTTATTGTGATAGAATTCTTCTCCTTCTCCTTCTCCTTCTTTGGTACCAGGGATTGAACCCAGGGGCCCTCGACCACTGAGCCCCATCCCCAGCCCTATTTTGTATTTATTTAGAGCAGGGTCTCACTGGGTTGCTTAACGCCTCTGTCTGGCTTTGACTTTATGATCCTCCTGCTTGGCCTCCAGAGGCACTGGAATCTGTCAATAAAGCTGGGTGTGGTGGCCTCCTTGACAGAGTTCTAACATGATGTTCTAGGATTCCACCATACTGAGGAGCTCCTGCTCCAGTGTATTCCCATTCTAGAATCCCAATGTTCTAAGCTGTTGGAGTTCTAAAGATGCGATACCCTAGGACTCCAGGATGCGCACCAGCCAGCGTTCTAACATTTTGGCATTCAGGAGTTCCAGTCTTCTGTACTGGGCACAGTGACACATGCCTGAATCTCTGCGAATCAGGAAGCTAGGGCAGGAGGATAGCAAGTTAGAAGCCAGCCTCAGCAACTTAGTGAGATTTTTTTTTTCCAAAATAGAAAATAAAAAGAGCTGGGGATATAGGTTGGTGGTAGAGTGCCCCTAGGTTCACAAAAAGAAACAAAGAAAAAAAAAAAAAGGATTAGACTCTTCTGATGGTCTGAATCCCAGGGGTGCAATATTCCAGAATTCCGAGGCGTGAGTTCTAAACCCTGGTTAGAAGCCAGTGGTCTAAGCACGGGCATGCATGTCTCCAGGATGCTGAGGGAGGAGCTTCTAGGATTCCCAAAGCCTTGGGAGTTTTCTTCTCTGAAATTTCCCTGGGCGTCTCTCCCGCCCAGGTGTCTGGACCCCAATGGAGAACGATTCGCTCAGCTACCCCTACGAGTACGGGGACTACAGTGACCTTCTGGATGTCCCCGTGGACTGCCCGGACGGCGCCTGCCTCTCCACCGACACGATCCGCGTGGCCCCTCTGCTGCTGTACTCTGCGGTCTTCCTGCTGGGCGTGCCGGGCAACGTCATGGTGGCCTGGGTGGCGGGGAAGGAGGCCAGCCGGAGGGTTGGGGCCACCTGGTTCCTGCACCTGGCCGTGGCCGACCTCTTGTGCTGTTTGTCCCTGCCCATCCTGGCGGTGCCGATCGCCCGGGAAGGCCACTGGCCCTACGGGGCCGCGGGGTGCCGGCTGCTGCCCTCGGCCATCCTGCTGTCCATGTACGCCAGCGTCCTGCTGCTGGCCGCTCTCAGCGCTGACCTCTGCCTGCTGGCCCTCGGGCGCACCTGGTGGGCAGCGGCTCAGCGGACTCGTGCCGTGCGGGTGGCGCAGGGCGCGGCCTGGGCGCTGGCCTTGCTGCTGACCGCGCCCTCGGCGCTGCACCGCCGCCTGCACCAGGAGCACTTCCCCGCCCGGCTCCTGTGCGTGGTGGACTATGGGGGCTCCGCCGCGGCCGAGGGCGCCGTGACCGCCCTGCGCTTCATCTTCGGCTTCCTGGGGCCCCTGGTGTTCGTGGCCGGCTGCAATGGTGCCCTCCTGTGCCGAGTGACCCGACGCCACTGGCCTCTGGGCGTGGCGGTCGTGGTGGGGTTTTTCGTCTGCTGGGCCCCCTACCACATCCTGGGGCTGGTCCTCACCGTGGCTGCCCCAAACTCCACGCTCCTGGCCCGGGCCCTCCGCGCTGAACCCCTGGTCGTGGGCCTGGCCCTTGCTCACAGCTGCCTCAATCCTATGCTCTTCCTATATTTTGGGCGGGCTCAACTGCAACGGTCACTGCCAGCTGCTTGTCACTGGGCCCTGAGGGAGTCTCAGGATGAGGAGGAAAATGCAGTAAGCAAGGTATTCACCAGTCATGATCTGGTGTCAGAGATGGAAGTGTAGGCAAGAAGGACATTGGCTTTTTAATCTTCTATTCCATTTCACAAATAGCTTCAGGCAAAGCTGGATCCAGGAGTTTCATTTTCTCCATTCATTCAAAGAACATTCATAGGCCCTTGCTGTATGCCAGGCCCTGATATAGGCATCAGGGTACAGTAGTGACCAGGACAGACACAAATTCTGCACTCAAAGAGCTGATGTTGTAAGGGAGGAAGACAGACAATAAGCAAGTAAATGAACATGGAATATGGGAAGGGTGATAAGTCTAAGAAACCTAAAAGAGACAAACGGGACTGGATGGGGCAGGAGATGTCAGTCAAAAAAGGTCTCTGGGGTAAGGTGATATTTGAGCCCAAACCTACACAAGGGGAGCAGGAGTTGTGCTTATAACTGGGAGAAAATTGTTCCAAGCAGAGGAACCAGCAGCATATCATGTGTAAAGGCCCTGAGGTGGCTGGAGGCAGAGCACTTGCCTAGTAAGTCCCAGGAAATATTTTGGCCCTACTTATACTAAAAATTATTTGTTGTTTATCTACAATTCAAACACAGAGCACTCAGTATTTTTTTCCAAGTTCCCTACTCTGAGTGCTTGATTGACTTAGATTTTAATAAAACCCCTCTCTGGTTGCTGGTGGAGATGTCTAGAGAAGGAAGCAGGAAGTAAGGAGCCAAGTGAGGAGGTTACTGCAATCGTCCATGCAAGAGGTGGTCAGGGTGGTAGAGCAGAGGTACTGGGAGGCTATTTTGACAAAAGGCCATGTCCAAACTCCTTGGCTTGGCATTCGAGGCTTCTCTCCACCACTTCCACTCTAGCTTCTCAGACCCCATAGGAGGCAGAATAATGGCTGCCAGTGTTGTGCACGTCCTAATTCCCTGGCGCTGTGAAACCCTACATTGCAAAAGGGACTTGCAGATGTGATGAAGTTAGGGATGGGGACATTATTCTGGCCTGTCCAGGTGGGCCCAAAGTCATCACAAGGGTCCTTTAAAGAGTAAAGTAGGAGATCTGAGTCAGTAGCAGAAGATGTGATAACCAAAGCAGAGCCTCCAGTGACAAGAGGAAGGAGCCACAAGCCAAGGAATGCAGGTGGCCTCCAGAAGCTGAAAAAAGTCAGGGACAGATTCTCTCCCAAACTTCCAGAAGGAAAGCAGACCTACCAACACCTTGACTTCACACTTTTGACTGCCAACATCTTAAGAGAACAGGTCACATTGTTTTCAGTGGCTATGTTTGTTACAGCGGCCACAGGGAGCTCATACAAACTGCCTGGGCTGTCTTATTTTCGTGCCTCTGGGCCTTTTCTCAAGCTGGCACTGCTGCCTGGAATGCCTGTCTCATCTATGCTGCCTGATTTGGTGATCACAAGTCACCTATGACTATCCAAACTAAAATTAATTGCAGTTTAAAATTTAGTCCTCAGGTTTACTGGCCATGGTTCAAAGGCCCAGTAGCCAAATGTGGTTAGTGGCTGTCATATCGGACTGTATAGGTATAGAACATTTCCATCACTGCAGAAAATTCTAGAAGACCAGGCCTCTCTAGAATCTCCTTTAGAATTTCATCAGTTTGGGGATTTCTTTTCTTTCTTTCTTTTTTTTTCCTGAATTGGGGATTGAACCAGGGGTGCTTTGCCACTGAGCTACATCCCTAGCCCTTTTTAAAAATTTTAAACAGGATCTCACTAAGTTGCTTAGCGCTCACTACATTGCTGAGGCTGACCACTTGCGATCCTCCTGCCTCACGCCCATATTGCTGGGATCACAGGTGTGTGCTACGGCACCTTGCTGCTTGGGTCTTTTAAACCCCGTGAGTGGCACCTGTGTGGGTGGCACTTTGCACGTTTCTCCTTTAGAGTATATATTAGTCATCTTTTTGTGACTTTCACCACATTCTCGACACAAGCTACTTATGAAAAAGAGAGGTTTGTTTGGTTTAGAGTGTAGGAAGCTAAAAGCCCAAGTTGCATAGCTCAGGCTCAGCGAGGCCTCCCTGGTCTGCACCACCTCGTGGTGGTCGGAGGGTGAGGAGCAAGCCCACTGCCTTCCAGCCAGGAGCCGAGAGCTGGGCGGGTCCAGGCTTGCTCAGCCAGCCAATGAAGGCTCAAGGAACTGCAGAAGCCCTCCCATTGATTTAAGGATCACTAGGCCCCACCTCTTAAAGGCGCCACAGCATCTCGGAATAGCGTCATTCCAAAGACCAGCCTACAATCATAGGAACCTTAGGGAAGGGGGGACTCAATCCAATCACATCCAGACCACAGCAAGGTAGTTCTCACATTAACCCACAGACAGGGTGAGAGGCTTCATTTTACAAGCTGAGGACCAGGAAGAGGAAGTCATTTGCCCAAAAATCACACAGCAAGGACACTGGAGAGCTGGAATTTGATTTCATTTTTACTTGACTCCAATGCTCATACTCTTCATCACCAAAGTTTTCCTGCAGGGCCTTACTCAAATGGCATGTCCTCCAGGGAGCCTTCCCCAATTCATGACCTTCTTAAGCAATGGTGCTTTTCTGTACTGTGAGTCTCAGGAGCACAGTTCTCAGATGAACCACAAATTCCTCAAGAGTGACAACTGGACCTGTTTAATTGCTGTCTCTCCGCTCCTCTCCTATACCTTAGAAACAGCCAGATTGCCTTATATTTGTCTAGATCCTTTCCCCCCAACTAGACTGTGGGCTCCCTGATGGTGGAGACCTCTTTCTGGCTATTTCCTTTTACTTCATTGGATATAGGAACAGAATTTAGGTTCTCAACAATTCATGTTTTATTTTCAGTATTTTATTCAGAATTGTTATGCATGAATTATCAAGACAGTCTGTTTTGTACAATGAATTGTTTTTTTCCTGGGACAATTTATAGTACTGCTTGAAAGGTTGGGAAAAATCTTTCCATGAATCCGACAGGGCCAGGTGCCACTTGGGTGTTCCTGGATAACTTTTAAAAACAACCTTGATAGGGTTCAAATTCTTTCATACCTTATTTTATGAGCCTTTTAAAAAAATAATAAGAGTAAATTTCACGGGAGCTTCCAAATGTATTTCTGTGCAATTTTACATAAAATTTTCTTGATCATTAAAAATAACCAGTTTTTTTATTTATTATAAATTTTCCTTGTTTTTGTTCTTGTTGATATTTGTTTATTTTTGATAATAAAATAGTGATTTTCTTAAGTTTTCAAAGAACCATGTCTTGATGATTTTTCCAATAATTAGTCTCAAGTGTGCTACTCAATCCTACTGTTGGTAGGTTGTGACTTTTTTTGTTTTGGTCCTGGGGATTGAACCCAGGGGCACTTAACCACTAAGCCACATCCCAACTCTTTTTATGTTTTATTTAGAGACAGGGCCTCACTAAGTTGCTGAGGCTGGCCTTGAACTTGTGATCCTCCTGCCTCAGCCTCCCAAGCTGCTGGGATTACAGGCACTCACCACCAAGCTTGGCAGTTTGTGACCTTATTCTGATCTTCCTTTTTTTTTTCTTAACAATTGTAGGTCTTGTTTGGAAATCTTAAGTAAAATTCTTAGTTTGTTTCTGCTGCTTCCTCTTTTGATAATAATATATGGATTGCCTTCTCTCTATATGAGGTTATTTCCCAAATGTTTGATAATTATATCCAACAGCCTATCCGACATCCACACCTGATAGTCAATGAATAACCCAAACTTTACACGGGCTGAGCATCTCTGATGTGAAAGTCTGAAATCCAAAATGCTCCAAAATCCCAAATTTTTGAGTGCTGAAATGATGGCATGAGTAGAAAATTCCACAGCTCACCTCATGTGATGTGTTGCAATTAAAATGTTAGCCACGACACTTGGGCTTGGGTCGTGGCTCAGTGGTAGAGAGCTTTCCTAGCCCATGTCAATCCTCAGCACCACATAAAAATACATAAATAAAAATAAAGATATTATGTCCATCTACAACTAAAAAACATTTTAAGAAATGTTAGACATGCTAAGAGATCATGTAAAACTAACTATGTGTATAAGGCTATGTGTATAAGTCTATATAAATCATAAATAAATTTTCTGTTTAGACTTGGGTTCTATGCCCAAGATAGAGCGCTCTCTCTCTCTCTCTCTCTCTCTCTCTCTCTCTCTCTCTATATATATATATATATATATATATATATATATGCAAATATTCTTAAATCTGAAAAAAAAATGAATCCCAAAACACTTCTGGTCCTAAATACTTTGGATAAGGGACACTCAACCCGTGTGCTCAAGACTGAGCACTGATTTTCTTTCTTGGCCCTCCTCATACTCTTTTTGAGCTCAGTGGACAGCAGCTCCATACTTCCAGGTGCTTAGGATGGAAAAAAAATTAGGCTCATTCCCGTCGTCTCTGTTTGCATCAGATGCTATAGCCAAGGCACCAGCCAGCCTCTCTGTTTTTTTTTTTTTTTTTTTTTTGAATATCTCCAGAATCCAACCACCACGCGCAAAATTTAGGATCATTCCCTCTGCCGTGACCTTGGCCCGAAGCTGCCATTTCTCACATTCTTATCGACCACCTTACTTCCTCATTACCCTTTTCTCATCTGGACTCTCTGTTCTCCACACGGGAGGCATAGTGTCCCATTAAAGCCAAGGGCAGATCCTGTCTCAAGTCCCTCTGGTGACTCCTGCCTCACTCAGAGGACAAGCCAAAGTCTTTGCCATCGCGTCTACTTTCTGTTCCCCTCCTCCCCCACCTCACCCCCACTCTTCCTCCCTCCTCCCCCTCCAGCCACACAAGGCTCCTTGAAGCTTCTGGAACTCATCATGTTTGTTCCCAACTCAACCTTTGCGTTTGCGGTTGCCTCTTCCTGGGATGCTCCCCCTCCAGGTGTCTGCCTGCGTCTCAACTTTTTGCAGCCTTCTGTTCAAATGCTATTTTATGGAAGGTGTCTTCTGACCATGCTACTAAAAACAGCTTCACGCCATATGCTCCCTCTGCTTTGTATTTTTCCTTAGAGCAGGCAATTGCTTAACATCCTGTTGACTTTTATTTTTGCGTCTGCCTCTGTACCTCCCACTAACATGATCTCCCTGGGAACGGGGACTTTTGTCTTTTTCGTTCATGGCTGTCCTCTCAGTTCTTAGAACTTACTCCTGGTCTGAAGCTTGTACCCTCTTAAGGGTAATGCTTTCTTTCTTTTCTTTTTTTTGTACCAGGGATTGAACCCAAGGGTGCTCAACCACTGAGCCACATCCCCAGCCCTTTCTTATGTTTTATTTAGAAACAGAGACTCTACCAAGTTGCTTAGGGCCTTGCTAAATTGCTGTGGCTGGCTTTGAACTCTCCATCCTCCTGCTTCAGCCTTCCATGCTGCTGGGATTAGAGGTGTGAGCCACTGTGACTGGCTGGGTAATGTTATCTTAGGGAAAAGGGAATGATGGGAAGGATATACTAATAAAAATATTTTACATTTATTGAGTTCCTGTATATAATGTTGTGGGAAACAGTTGATGTACACTTTTCCACTTGAGCAATCTTGAACTGTTCAAGGTACTAGGTATTAGGTCTGGGGAATGTAGGTAAGTGATAGAGTGCTTGCCTAGCATAAGTGAGGCCCTGGGTTCCACCCCCAGCACCACTACTAAAAACAAAACAAAAAACCCCAACACTGGGAAAAGTAAGTTGTTAGGATGGTCTTAGGCCTGAGCCTAAGCAACTCCAGTTTAAAAACTCCAGTTTACCCTGCATTCTCACCAGGCACACCCACAGATCCCTCCAGTATGGCCTCAAACAAGTTACTTCCCCTCACCCTAATAAACAGAGTGAAGCCCCTGACAGGCTGTCCTTGCCTGATAAGAGGGAAAGGCGAGAAGATCAGGGTGGAGACCACCAGACCAGATGTCTCTGACCCCAAGGTAAATGATGTCACTGTAGCTGATAAGGATTGAAGGGGGGGGTCAAAAGCCCCCAAATTTAGTATAAATGATAGAGCAAATGAACAGGGATTCAGCAAGCAGAAACAAGGATGCACTCGAGCTGGAGAGCCTGATGAGGACCTGACATCCCATCACTTGTCATCATTCCTGATCCTCTGCGTGATCCTCACGGCTCTCAAACTGTACTGCCTGGTCTGGACCTTAGTGAGAGCCGCAACTCCTCCCTACAACCCCTTCCTCAACCTGTGGTCCACTCCTCTCCAGGGAAAACCTGCCTTGGTTCCAGGCCTGATCACCGCAGTCTGAGTGAGTGTGCATCTTCTGGACTTAAAGCCTAAGGCTTAATTAAGACTTTAGAACTTAGCATACAGAGGGAATGTCTGTCATTATCCTGTCATGATTAAGTGTGTTTGCAGTGATTAGAATTAATCTAGAATTGTTTGCTGTGAATTGACTATGTCTATTGCAGTGCCTAGCATTAAGGATTGTCTTTTTCTTGATTAAGAACCTATAGAGTGGGGGCTGGGGATGTGGCTCAAGCGGTAGCGCACTCGCCTGGCATGCGTGCGGCCCCGGTTCCATCCTCAGCACCACATACAAACAAAGATGTTGTGTCCGCCAATAACTGAAAAATAAAATGTTAAAGTTCTCTCTCTCTCCCTCTCTGCCTCTCTCTCTCTTTAAAAAAAAAAAAAAAGAACCTATAGAGTGAAACTGTATTAAGTAATTTGAGTGAATAAAGCATTGAAAGGGGTAGAAGCGCGTGGACATTCTTTATTTCTCCCCTCGACTGCATACTTTGCAATTTTGCCTCCTCGCGACATAGGTATTTGCCCCTGTTTATGAATGAGGAAACTGGAGGTCAGTCCCCCAATGACTGGCACATCTACGACTATACAGGGCTCACTCTTCTCATTTAGTCACTCATTCAACACACACTTGCTGATCATCTACTCCGCTTCAGGCACTGTGTGTGCTCAGGACCTTCCAGACACAATTGGCCCCTGCCTTCAGGGAGCTGTGGTTTGCGTTTGATTATTTATTAGTGAACGATACATTCATAGCGTGATCACAGGACTGCTTTAATAGTTCCTGGGCCCAGCCTAGCTCCCTAACTAGATTAAAAACCCTGCATCCCGGGTTCCTGGGGTGCAGGTGTGGTCCACCGCGGGGGACAAGGGGGGGGGGGCCTCACTGGTCCCCAGAGGGCGCACAGTCACCCGAGGCTCTACCCCAAGCTAGGCGGTGCTGTGCGCAGGCGCAGGATGATCTTCGTCCTCCCGCCGCTCTCCACTGGTTCCTGTATCAACGGAGGGGCGGGGCAGGGCCGTGAGGGCGGGCTGCGCAGGCGCAGACCTGGCTTCGTGCGCGTGAGGGGCGCTTGGCACCGGAAGTAGTGGCGTCCGCGGCTGTCGGTGAGGTGAGGGGCGGGGCGCGCGCGGGGAGACGATGGCGGCGGCGGCGTGCCGAGTCGGAATGGGTCTCCGTAGCTTAGGGGCGAGCCGCGGGGTGAGGGACATTCTCAGTGAGAAGAAGTGTGGGGGCACCGGCAGAAACAGACGCGGAAGGAGCCTGAGTGACCCGCGACAACGAGGGGGAGAGGGACGCACGAAAGAAGCTTCAGGAACGGAGGCTCCGAGAGGGGCTTGGGGAGAGGGGGCGTCGCCTCGTAAAGTGGAGGTGGCGGGAGAAGGTCGTGGACGCCGGGAACCAGGCAGACCCGAGCAGAGCGACCTGGAGAGGAACGAGGGACTGGGTCGTGGGTCCGACAGATAGGAAGGGGGACCACAGTGAAGGGGAGAGAGAAAAACTGGAGACGAGGGAGCATCTGCTGAAAAACGGAGAGAGGAGGTGCAGCCGGAAGCCCTGGACTGGAATTCCTCCTCGCCCCGTCTGCTCGCCCTGCCTCTGGCTCAGTAAAATAGGACTTTCCCGGGGTTGTGGGCAGTGTGTGTGTGTCCCTGGCACCCAGAAAACACAAGGGCGATCCCGAGGAAGAGGGCTGGTTATGAAGGATTCACACCCCTGGGGACGAAATGGCAGATGGAGAAATGGAGAGGGGGTTACAGAGAGCTGGGAGAGAAAAATAGAGGAACAGGAAAGAAGGTTCAAAGAGAAAACAGCTGGAGAAACTCCAATAGAGATCTGAAGCAGGGAGGAGAGAGGTAGTTGATTATTATCACAACCCACCTAGTGATGAAAATCAAACCCAGACCTGCCTGTCCCCAAACCCTATATTTAAGAAGGCCCTGAATCCTTTTAAGGTCATAAACCCCATCTGAGTGATGAACTTCCCGCCAGAAAATTGCAAGCCAGACATAATCAGACTGAAAAACAGACTCAGAAATGAATAGGGTTTGTTCCAGATTAGGAAAGGGAAGAGAGGCAGCATGATGACTAAGATGGTCTGTAAAAGAGACCGAGGCCTCAAGATGGAGAGAGGGACACAGACCCAGTGAGGGATGTGAGCCTGGGAGGAGTAATGCCAAGAGGTGGTTGGAGATGTAGTTGTAGAGAACCTGGAAGATCTTAGTGGCCTAAAAACCTAGGAGAATAGACTCCTTGAGAGACGTGGATGCTCTCTTTGGGCCCAGTGTGTTTAGGCGGTTTGTTGCCTAAGAGAACCCGCTCTTTTTCGTTGTCCCTGTTCTCAGGGAATCTCTACTTCTGTATCATGTTGTTCTCTAGGCCTCATCCTCTTTTCCTAGAGTAGGAATTCCTCCTGAAGTATCCCTGGTGTCCCCAAGCTCCCATGTTTACCAAGAAGTGATGCACATTGCACATTGATTGCTGTCTCTGGGAAACACCTTTCATGAGGTCTTGCGCATTCAAAACTCATTTCCAGCTCTAGTAATTCCCAAAATTGGCCTGAGTTTTTACCTCTGGGATGCCAAGACAATCTCTGAACTCTGTTCCATGATGGCCCTTGAGAGATTAAAGGCAAAGTAGGCAAAAAGCATTGCTAATACCACTATAAAGGTGATTTGTGGCCTTTTGTGTCAATTTTTTTCCAGGCTGTGTGCCTTTTGTTCCTTATGCTCTTTTCCCATGTTGGTGTCTTCCTGTGGGGAAAAGCACTGGACTTAAATACTAGTTACTATTTGGCTTCTTTGTGCCTGGCTAGGTAATGAGCATTTCAGTGTTTTCAGATGGATATTGCCTTCATTTTATACATGAAGAAAACCCAAGAAGTCAATTTGCTGATGATC